TGAACCGCTTTACAAGGGAAGATCCCACTTTTCGAATCCATTTTAATGATGAGAGCAAAGAGACCATTGTTTCTGGAATGGGGGAACTGCACCTGGAAATCTATGCCCAGGTAATTTGGAAAGCAGATTCCATGGACTCTGCTTTTGACTGTTTTCTCCTTCCTTTCTGGCTGAGACCAAAATCTAGCTGCAGATGGGCTGATGCCAGCCTTCATGCCCGATTTTGTAATGGGGTGCACACCAAGTTTGGAGGTATACAATTCCACTTGCTTTTGTGTAAATCAAGGCTATCATGTGACAACAATTTTGAGATCTTCCTAGCAGAAAGCACTGTGTTGTCAATGTGAACAATACTAGCTGCTTAGGGAAGAGCTTAACTTCTTAGTCAACTTTTGAAGATTCTTTCTGTACAGTGGTTCTGTTTTGAAGGTTTGTAATCTATTTAAATGTAACTTCTGCCTGGAATATTTTTACTTTTTGGTTCAAATCCATAAAATATGTTCTATTAAGCACTACGCTTTGCTTTAGCAGTCTTTGCTTATAATGAATTTTACTGTTAGCCATTTCCTACAGGAGAGAGAAATTATTCTGTTTCAGTGTTTTTAAATGTATCGTTCCATAATAAAAGATGATGCAGGCAGGAGGGAATAGTTACTTACAGTCATTTATTTGTTTCTTTCAAGTTGATGTCTATATTTTAGTCTAACACAATAGATGTATCTGAAATGTTGACAGAATGAAGAAAAGATGGCTTTTGTCTTGAAAAACTTAAACTTGAGTGAAATAATAAGTGCTGTTCCCTTTTTCTATGTCTAAAGCTATCACCGCTAAACAAGGATGACTGCAAAATGACAATGAATAATTTGTAACACTTAAAAAAACCTCCCCCACCAAGACCTCAAAAATCAATCCAACCCCAGACCAAAAACATGGTTAACCCTGATTAAGTTTCTCATTTCAGAAAGATCTGTAAATAAAGCAATTTCCAATGTATTGTTCCAATGGAACAACTCTATTTCATTATGCCTTTTTTTTTCCTGCAGCGAATGGAAAGAGAATATGGTTGCCCTTGCACCATGGGAAAGCCGAAAGTTGCCTTTAGGGAGAACATCTCCGCACCTGTGCAGTAAGTATTCTTTGTGGGAACAGAGAGGTTTTTTTAAATTTAGCTTGATGCAGAATTTGATTACGTAGCAGAGAAAGCGTCTTTTGGATAATCAGATCAAAGCACAATGTACAGGAAAAGTTTAACTGAGGAATATCCTTGATTGCATATCCACCCTCGTCAACTTCTCTGCCCTCCCTTCAAAAGCTTATTGTAGCATTTGAGCTTCCATTGCAGTATCAGGTGGTCCCTTACTCCAGTGCATGTTTTGGCTGGCGGCTCTCCTGTGTTACTTGAACACCATGCTGTGGGTGCCAGAGAACTGTCACTTGCCAGGGAATGATCTCCTGTGGGGAGGAAATAAAACTGAGGAAGGTGAGACAGTATTTTCTTTGAACAACGTTGAACGGGAACTGCCAGCTGTAATGCAGCCATATAAGTAGGTTGATCAAGCACCAGTAAGAGTGCAGGGTAGGCACTATAACACACAGTCCTGCTGAGCTGTCTGAATATCTGAAGTTCTCCTGCCAGCTTTTTTCAGTCCGTTTTGTGCTCCATGCTGCTCCAACTACATTCTTCTATCTAGGCAAGTTTTGCAGCTCAGGCATGTCCGTGCTGGATTACCCTTCTTACTGTTAGTGCTATTGATATTTTGGGACACTTGCCCTTCTCTAAGCAGAGCACAATGAAGAACCCATGCTTTTGTTCTGCAATTAGTTGGCTGCTACTACTCAGGATTTTTTCTTCATAGAAAACTTAGGAACTAAAAACTCTAGAGATGCCCCAAGTGCAGTGGGGTAGGAAGCAGTGGAGCTAGAAGTGGGAGTGAGATCTCCGATTGTTATCAGCGGGTGATTTATTACAGGAGATTGCACAATCGAGAACTTCTCTTTCAAATTTTCTGCATTTTTCTTATGAAAACACTTGCTCAGATCACAAAATTATGATGGAGAATAGCATATGATGTAAATACTGTTCTGGGAAACAAAGTTTCTGCTGCTCTCTTCTGTGAGCTACTGGGGTAGACAGTGCCTCTGTGACTGGTCCACCACTGCTGTCCTCTAGCATAGAAGCGCTCTGCAGCTCCAGCTGGAATGCAGTTAAGCAGTCCAGGATGCCTGCAGCTGCTTCTTCCCTTTATCCCTGCCCAGCTTGGCAACGCTATCTCCCAAGATGAGAGAGCTGTGAATGACCAGTATATTGAACCTCTGCCATTCCCAAGAAGGGCCCAGAAATAGCTGAAAATTACTGTCTCTTGACACAGGTTAGAGGCCTGTTGTCTCCCACCTGCATGGGGCAGAAGATGGTAACGCTGAGATAGCCCTAACTTCACCCTCTTTGCTAACTGACCTGCAGGCATCAGATCTGTGAATGCCCCACCATCTGCATGTCTGCATTGGAGGGTACACTGCTGTCAGTCTTAAAACAAACAAAAAAAAGCTTTCCAGAAATAAGACTTTACCTGGGACACCATTTCATGAAGTAGAATCATATAGTCAAATGCAAGATATTCATCACTTCTTTTCTGGAAAGACAAGACGAAAAGGGCTGAATTTGGGTCTTCCCCCCACCTTAAAAAAGAAGTGAATCAGTGCTCTCCGGTTATCATAAAAATTCTTATCTATTTCGGATGAAACTGGCAGCTTGTGTTAACAAATAAAGCAGATGGAGCTTAGTCACTATAACAAAACAAGAAGATACTGTTTTGTATTCTGTGAACTCCAAACCTGCATTTGAGAGACTGAATGTGAAATTTAAAACGGTGCTAATTCCTCCCTTAAAGAAGCTAGATGTACCTCAACTTCAGGAACTCATTTGGGAACACCTGGTTCTGCAACGTGTCAATTTAACCCAAATAATCCTAAATAAATTTGTCACTAGGATAAGGCTTGGAATACACTCCGGCCTTACAGCAGATAACAAGTTACCAGTGATTGTGCGAGTGACAGAATGCCCAGTTTAGTTTAATAGTCTTCTGTCTGCCTTAAATTCATCAGGTTTGCTAAAGAGGGTTTTTAAATCTTCCTTGTGCATAGCCCTGCAGCATCTGTGAACTGCTTTCAGATAGCCATCAGAGGGAGCAAAACATTACCAAAGTGTGCTCCCAGAATGAGTTTTCTGCCTCTCCTTCGTTCCCATAACTTCATGGGAATTCACTGGCTGTTCTGAGTGGCCAAACATTCAGGCTCTGAAAGTCTGTTCTGAAGACTCCTGATACGTTGAGTTTTCTAAATACGAAGTCCTGCTTCTTTATTCTAGCTTACATACTAAATTTCCTTGAATTTAAAGTTGACCATGCCTTTAGGAGTTTTTCTTAACTCACAGTATATTTTCTCCAAATAGAACAGAGAACCACTGGGAAAATCTATAGAATTCTGTTAATTTAAAAATAAAACCAAGAACTTCGCTTTGATAACTTTTCTGAAAGCAAGTTGCCTTATCAGTTAAGCCTGTTCAGGTAAGAAGTCTGTGTGGCCTGTTGATGGTGGCAGCTAATGACTCAGTTTGAATAGCGATAGTGAGGTTTTCCAGTCCTATTTATTTCTTAGCTTTGTGCAGATCCAGATCTGCTCAAGATAAACACAGCACTTGTAACCACTCAGAAGTAAGTGAAAATAGAAAATACTTTGTCCTGAAGTATTCTGTTCCCTTTCTGTCTTGTGACATGTTTTCCTGAATTCAGTTTTCTTAGCATAAACTCATTTGATGCTCAACGTGCTAATACAAGTCTAGGAGCATGGCTCCACTTGACGTTTTCAGATCAAGTAGAAAGCTATCCCTGAAGTAAGTGTTACTGTTAACTGCGCCATTTAAAAAAATTTAGACAGCACTTCTGCAATATGAATGTCTCAACTAAAAATTAATTTTAGGCTTAAGATATTCCCTCCCCCACAAAAAATAGTAAAAGTAAGTTTGGGAAGAACAAAATAAAAAAGCTAATATTGGGAGTGGAATTCATCAATATTTTCTTCCTTGATTAGCATTTTGAGGTGAAATAGCAAATGGGTGGAGACTGCAGTACTGCAAACAAAAGCAACATAGATTGTGTCTTACTGAATTTGAGGTGCAGCCCATTGCTATTTGTCTAGACATGGCTATCACAGAGATGTCAAGCAGTATTGCTGTGACTGATTGCTAGATCGTGGCGTAGATCAAGACATAAAGGACAGTATTCCAGTGCGTGTTATGCAGATGCAAGAAGAAAGGCAGGAAAGCAATTTAAAACTGTAACCAATGTGATAACCTCCAAGTGAGACAGTCAGTTTTCTTAACTAAATAATACTGCTGTTGCTGAGAAGACATGGTTTCTATAAGCAAAATTCATGAGGAGGAGTAGTGATCTAAAATAAACACTGAAGCCATCAGTGGAAGCTGTCCTGATTTGCTAGAGGAAAGAGATGGGTGGAAGAAAAAGCAAACACTGGCTTAAACACAAACCGGGTCAAGAAGTTCAGACACAATTGAGGTTTCTTGCTTGAGAACTTGTCCAGTACATGCACAACTGCTTAGCTCCTAAACACTACTGTTCTTGCAGGGCATTGATGATAACTTACCACTTGCTTCACACGCTTAATTTGGGCAAGTTGAAAATGAGTGTTTTCAGTTGAGTTCTGCCATATCACATAGCCAGAGGCGACCCAAGCTAGCAGTCGGATGGGCTCCATTTCTGGGGACACGTTGCCATGGCTGTCTGGCAAACAAAATAAATAATACACATTAAGCAAGATTTATGGAGTTGCAGCCATTAACAGAATCTTATCACCTAATAGTAGGGTTTGGCGCTGAAATCACTTGCTTACGTTCCTTGCTGTGTCACAGACCTTCCATATAATCTTGGAAGAGCTACTACATCACCACTGTGTTTTCCTCCCACTTCCTTTTCTTAACGTATATTCTGTAAGGTCTTCAAGGCAGGGGTTGCTCTAAAGTAAGAGCAGACCCTGGTACTACAGTTGGGGTGTCTGATGTACTACACCGAGAAGAGCCACAAACAGCGAGCAGGACGCTGGTAAAGGGAGAGATAACAGCAGCAGGTGGTTTTCAAGAACAGTTTCATGCAAATCATGTATCGGTTCTGGATTTCAGAAGTGATGAATAAATTTAGTAGTGTTGTCATTGACCGACCACCCCGAATAGCAGAAAGTGAAGCAGCATGTGTTCAGAGTAGGGCTAATGGCCAGATCCCCTCGGCCCTGGCCTGTACAGAAGGAGCTCCCATATGGATCATGGACCACCACCAGCTGAGCTTAAGTTTGCTTCTGGCCATGGAGAACATTGTCTCAAAAACTTCTCCCCCAGGCCCCTTCTTTGTACCTGGTATGTTTTCTGCCATTAGCTCTTTTTCCAGGCTCTTGATTCGATTGTAGAATGTGTTATCTGCTTCAGCTGTGTTCTTAAGTTCTCCTTCAAGTGTGAATTGCACATCTGGAGCAATGTTTTTGTTGCCCAGATGATAAAGAACCTCAGCAGTGCAGTTAACAGTACTGTCCTGTTACAGAGTTAATGATCCATATTAATATGTGATTAAATACATGTATAATACTAGTAATTTGCACTTCTAAAATGTGATTTTTTTTTTTTTCTCCTTTATGTAGTTGCTGTTTTTTATGAGCCTGGCCCATACAGATTTGTGATTATTTAAGACAAGGTTAAATTCATAATATTTCTGTGACTGTACTATAAAGGGGAGTTTTCTTTCTGCAGTGATAGAAAGGGCAATGTTTGTGGTGCAGAATGTCACTTGTGCTATTCAGTTGGAGTAATGGGTTCAAATAACTTCAATTTGAAATTGCAAGATGCTGAAATCATCCCTCAAGCATTTCCTTGTGTCATAGTGGTAGGTACCAGATGTTCAGGGCTTTCATGGTATAGAAAATGGGGGTTCCCTTTTGATAAAGTTAAGCCTTTTTTTTCCCCCCCCTGATTTGCAGTATAGGAAAATCTGAAACATGATACCAAGTATTATTGTGTGTCCCCTGGCCTCAGCTGGGGTCAGCAGCGTAAAGCATTGGGTTTTTATTACATGTCAGTAGTGCCAACTTCTGCCCACAGAATGTTTTAACTAAATAAATCTGAACTCACTTTGTCAAGGACGTCTTCTAACACCAGTTCCAGGTAGTACTTATGCCCGACATCATCGATGTCCTAAATAAGGAAAACATTAAGAACATTTATTCTGTAAAACACTGAATTGCTTTGCATTGTGGAAAAGATTCTAATTATTGTGAAACGCCGCAGCAGTGCCGCTCTCTGCAGGACCCGTTCAGAGCTAGGATGATCTTTTATTTCTTCTTGCCGTGTTAAGGTCGCTCACTTAATATGCACCTGGTGTAGCGTCGGATTAGCACCTCCTTGTCCGTTCCTAGCCTTGTATACTTGTACACTGAATTGCCCTGCGTGGGCTCCCAGGATGACTATGTGCAATAGCGTGCAGCTTGGTTAAACGCTGAGGCAGGAGTCTTAATTGGGTTCCTTATATTAAGCCCATTTTGCACTTTGTTATGAATTGTATCATGTCATATATATTCTTGGATATCTACAATAATGACTTAAGCAGGTTCGTTTCGCTGTAACCCCTGTTCTAGCAGGTTTGCCAGCAAGTCCAGAGCAGGTCAGTGGTGAGGTCTGTCCTGAAAAGAGCGTCCTCCGACAGAGTGAGTTTGCTTGGGAGGTTGAGCAGGGCGCGATGCCCCGGGTAAGCACCCCGGGCGCGGCGCAGGGCGCGGTTCCTGCAGCAGCGTTGCCCAAAGGGGCCAGGACAGCCGGAGCACTGTGCCGCGCAGGCGGCGCGGATCTGCCCTCCTGCTACCAACGCAAGTCACGAGCGGGGCTCGTTCCATGCACGACAGACACGCGTGCAGCCGGCGCGCCT